TATTAAAATATATATATATATATTATGCAACAATCCTAATGAACAAAGAGATCCTTCAATTTTATATGGTTATTTTGGGTAGGGCATGCACCTTTAATTTTTGGTGCAACTCAGTGTTTTTTATTCCTCGATCGAGGCATTCTAGATTTGTTTGAGTTTTTCATTCACTTGTTTATCCATGTTATCGAACATTATTCATTTGTTTTTCTATGTATGGATCTTCAAACAACGTTATTATAGTTTGAGGATTTCAATTCTCAGCATAGTCCCATGCCTACAACCATGTCGCATGTTCATGTCATCATTCATTTCTAGGTATTTTTCTAACATCACACATGTTTAATATTCGAAATAAATTTTTTAAAATTAAAAAAAAATCATTAAGAAACAATAACAATAGCTTATCAAATTAGAAAAATTACAATTTAGTTATTGAAATCGTTGGTGAATATAAAATAACGTAACCCGTGTTTGTGTATGTAATTTTGTATTTGATGACAAAGTACATTTTTTAAGTTATTTTGAAATTTGATTTTTTTTTATCCTTTTTTATTAATTAAATGGAGAAAAAAATTATGATAAAGTTGTAGAATGTTTTGAAAAAATAAAAGAGGTGAAAAAAACTGAAAATTATTAACTTAATTAATTAAATGTGATGCTTTTTTGTAATAATAAAAAAATTTAGTGTAAATAATCTATGGTCTCAAAAATTATGATGATGAATTGTTTGAATTTTATTTTTACTTTATTTTTATTTAATGAGTCGGAGTGAAAGTTAATGTAACGAGTTTTTAAACATAAGAAGAGTAAATGAAAAAGATAATAAGGATAAAAATAAGAAAAAAAAGTTACTATATTATAAGTTTAAATACAACATAAAAGTGATATTTATCTTTTTAAAAAATGCCATGGAATAGTAAAATCAACCACTTAACAAAATTAAAACTTGTAAAAAAATTCATTGAATAAGATTTGATATTCACAAAGTTTATTTTTAAATTTTAATTAAAAAAGTTTTAAAATAACATGTTAAAAAGGATGTTGTAACCATTTTCTTTTATAAAATATAATCTTTAGTGAAAATTAGTTTTTTATCTCTTTATTTTCACTTTCGGTTTCTTTTACATGATTTAAAAAATATCATTAACTTCATTCTCAAATTTTACGCTAAGAATACTTAGAAGTTCTTACAAAAAACCTCCTATCGTTTATTTCAAACTTATCTATTAATCATCCTGGCTAATGTAAATTAAGTTTAAATTGAAATCTAAATTTTACAAAAGGAATTCATTAAACGAAAACAATTTTAGGGTGAAAAAACTCTTATGATAAAAATTATTACTTTAATATAGGTTTTACTGTTTAAAATAAATAAAAATTACTTGTGTAAGTACTTTTTATCCTTTTTAATACCAATATTAAAATAACTTCTTCTTTTTTAAGAATTTTTTAAAACGATAAGGCATGGGAGGGATACATTTTATCCAACACTTTGTGAATCTCATCTTAATCAATGAATATGTGTTGATCCATTCCTGTAAATTTTCTTTCTTATTTGTCTATGTTTATTTTGATGTGTCAATATTTTATATTAAATTATAACATTGAAGAATGTAATGACATTAATGTACACTTTTTTTTTCTTAGACTTTATTAGATCGAAATAAGATTTATTTATCCAATCTTAAAATAGAGATAATATAAATAATTTTGATATTTCATAATATATATATTCTTTTATTTTTGAATATTTATATTTACTTATTTATTATCTTATAAAAAGGTTGGTATATCTTTTTAAGTCTTCATCGTATATCGTGGATGTGTCAATATGGGTTATAAATGTTAAAATTTCAAGTGTGAGTTTGAAATCTTACACTTTTTAGAAATAAGAAGGTTGAGTAACTTATAAATTAAAAATATTCATAATCTAATGTCTTAATGTTTTTTATTGAAAGTGATGTCATATTCTCTTATATGATTAACTCATTACTAAACTAACTCACCAACTCGTAGTGGGTTGAGCCAAGTTTGTAAAATTTATAACTTGTCATAAAATAAGTTAGGTTGAACTCATCTATTTTCAACTCAACCTATGTAAACGGGGTCAACTCTTGACACCTATAATTCGTCGTATCATTTATATATATATATATATATATATATATATATATATTTATTTATATATATAGTGCAAGATATGACCTTTTAAACAGAAAGTGAAATGAATAATAAAAAAATTATTTTTTGAGACATCAAACCCTGGAAAAAAGGAAATGAAGAAAAACTTGCCCAAATGTGAGTGAGAGCATGAGGACGAGGGGTGGGTGTGTGAACTATATTAGCTTTTATTGTTTAAAAATGATAAAGTTGATAAAAGATTTTGTTGGATAAAAAATTACTCATGCTTAAAGGGAATAATTTTTAACACGAATTATTAATGCATGGATTATCTCTATACTAAGTGAACTTTAACCACCTCATTGATCCAATGAATTATTTTCTTTTATATATTTAGTTACAAATATCTTTAACTTAAACATGATTTCATCATGGTATATACAATGAAAATGGTTTTTTGGTTTTAAAAAATTTCAACACAATGAAAATTCAATAATAATTAATGCATGGAAAACTTGTTTTTATCGTGGATTTCAATCAATGCATAAAAAAAATATTCGTATTGTATAATTAACACATAAATTATTAATTAGTATCATATAATACTAGGATAAAAAGTAATAATTTTCAATTTTATAAGACTAATTAAATTTCACTCGTTTTACAGGTAGTAAAGATGTATTAAACATATTTTACTTAAAATTTTGATTTTAATATACAACTTATTATTTCCATATTCAAGTGTATTCATACCCAAAAGCATAAGAAGAACATAGCAATGTTATATTTATTTCAAAATATGTATTTCAGCACGTGTTCTTATTCAAGTGAAAATTAGTATAGACAAAAGTGATAGATATTTTGCATTATTGACAAGTAAAAAGATAAAATATGAAAAAAAAAAACACAGGTAGATATTTATGAATGCAAAAAGAATTAAAAATATAAAAGTATTTCATTCGGCCCAAAAGAAGAAAAAAATCTTTGGAGCCCAACGAGCTTATTCGGCAAGTCACTGTCTGAAAATCCAAATGATAAACAACGCCATTAATAATTGAATCTTTCTTTAAAAAGACGATAAACAAGAAAGTATCCATGTCCACATGTGCCTCCGTCACCATCATCATCATCATCATCATTTCAAAAGCTCTTTCTAATCTTCCACTAACAATTGCTTACCAAAATATTACCCAGAAAAAAAGAAAACAAAAGCATTCATTAGTAATATAATGAGTTAGAATAATGATTAAACACTTTACATTTTTATATATTAAAGATCAAATATATGTTTAGATGTTAAATTTGATTTTGATGTTAATTTTTAAATTTAAAAATAACGTTAATTTATTTTTTTAATTAATATTATGATAATAAAAATATATTATTAAATACTAAATTTAAGTAAAGACAAATAAAAAAATATATACTTTTCTCGAAAAATAATCTATATGATAAAAATTTATATTTGATTAGTATTATATGAAAAACTCATTAAATTAAGGATAATCATATTATTACAAACAAAATTAGTATTTGATATATTGGATCTAGAAAACTACATGTGATAAGAAAAATTAAAGCACTGGTGAGTCATAATGTTCCCTCTTTGATGGGACTGAGATTGTCCATGTACATGGATGCATGAATATGGAATACTCAACCACTCTTTTCTATTTCAACATTATTCCATCACTTAAGTTTACAACAAAAACAATACCTAAAATGAACACAATGGTTTCGTTACAAACTCAAAAACAACGAAATTTACGTTTGATTTTGTTTGGTTTATTTTTCGACACCAATGCCCACGGTGAAAAGGAAATTCCACGCGGCACCTTCATCTGAATATTCAATATTAAACCTAAAATGAAAACCTAAATTTATGAGATCACCTTCATGTCAATGTTTACACTTACTTGTAGTAACTACGTTGCTCAAAAAACACCACTTTCAATTTAATTGAACATGAGAGTGACATCGTATCTTTCAAAAATTTTACTCACCTTCAAATCACAATCATTTTCATGCCATCAAAATTTTTAATCCAATCTATATATATACTTTAACTAATGCAAACTAAAAACAATTTAATAGTTTAAGCATCGAATTAATATCTCTTTGAAATATATCACACATAGTTAATATCACTTCCCATTAAATAATTTTACAAAATTAATAATATATATCTTATAATAACTTAAGCCTATTGGATTCTACCTATGAGAAAACTTTAAAAAAGTGATCAATGAAATTAAACATTTGATGTTTATATTCCACTTTTTATAATTCAATGGTCACATGCTTTCATTTAAATTTTATAGTTCTTACGCTTCTATCTTACCAAATAATAAAGATAATAACTTTTTTTTCCACAAAGTCAAAGCTCTAAATTGCCTTCAATTAAACACAGTTGACTGTTTTATAAGTTTTTTTTTTCATAATTTAAAAAACGTGTGAATGCTGAATATAATACTCTAACAACAAAAACATAAATGAGTTTATACATGTAACATCACTTTATTCAGTTGATAAAGGAAGCACATCACACAAGAATATAACTTTGTCATCGCTACCTGAGCACATTCTCCATCAATACAAAAATAAAATAAAAAATACATTGATTTTTTTTTTTATCACTATGTTTTTAATCTGAAACATTGATCAAATAATTGATATCTAAAGGATAATATTATTTAAATTGGAATCTTATATTTATTTTTCTATTCACAATATTCGAATTCAAAATATTATTTAAAGATTTGGGCCAACGATTTATTAGTATATATATATATATATATATATATATATATATATATTCATTGAATTGAGATCTTGGAAGGGGTATATATATATAACAGAACACTCAGTAGAACATAAAGATGAGTCCAATGTTGTCAAACAAAATTCTTTTGTGGGTCATGTTTGTGTATTGGTGCCACTTTGCGATCTCATGCAAGGCCAACGAACAAGGGGAATATCTGTTTAAGTTACTTCGATCAAAGAGGGGTCAGAAAGTGATCTCAGATGATGGAGAAGCTTCAAGTGCCAAAAATGGTGGTGATGAAGATGTTTGGAAGGTTGAGGAAGAAAGGGTGTTGATGGAAGATGACAAAGTGAAGGGTTTGCCAGGAGAACCAGAAGGGGTTGATTTTGATCAATATGGTGGCTATGTCACAGTGGATGCCAAGGCAGGAAGAAGATTGTTCTACTACTTTGTGGAGTCACCTCACAATGCCTCCAACAAGCCCCTTCTTCTATGGCTCAATGGAGGTAACTTTTTTTTTTTTTTTCTTTTTCTTCTGAATATGTTCTGTATAATCATATCCGTTTATATATATATATATATATATATATATATATATATATATATATATATATATATATATATATATATATATATAAGGTTTTATATAGAAAAAATATTTTTAAATATATAATGCTTTTAAAGTTTAAGATTATATTGAGTATTTTTTTCATCAATTATATTTCTATTTTCAATTATATTTATTATATAAAGAGTAGAGATGGTTTTTTACTAATTAAAAGTATTTTGGTTGAAGAAAATATTAAAATTATAAAATATTAATGAAAAAGATTAATAAATTTATTAAAAATAATTAAAATTAATGTTTATCTTATTTTATATAAATTAACTTTAAAAATTATATATTTTGAAATTGAAAAAAATATTATAATAGTCATTAATATTGTCTCTTTGTAATAAAAAATGCCATGATAATATAAACATATTAATACATTTCTATATACATAACCATCAAAATATCAGTTATTTATTAAAGTATTAGGGTGATGATGAATATATTTAATTATTTGTTATCTTTTATACTATTTTTGTTATATCGGGTTAGATGTTTTGAAGTTGGAGGATTTTGCAATAACTCGAAATTTTATATTACATGATATTAAATAGATGTTACAAATGAAATGAAAACAAAATGTGATGAAGAAATGAAAAGAATCTAAAAAGCCTATTTAAAAAAGAATTCCTTTTGCCCCCAATAATCATAAAGTTGATTCAATTATGTTGAATAATATGACATATGATATGACCCCACAATATGGAATTCTAACACGAAAGCCACAAGAGTTTATTAAATTCTTCAATTAGAAAGAGATTCTTGAGTTTAGAACACTCTTATCGTGATTGGTGCCCCATGCAATAATCTTATAATCTCTTGCATGGGTTGGGTAATATTCATTTTACATACATCGCCTATTTTAATATTTTTATATATAATTTCTTACCAACGGAAAGTTTAATATTATTATCTTATTTAAAACATTTCACTGTGAGGTTGACCTTTGTATATATATTTTCTCTGTTCATCATTAAAATCATGAATTTGATCAAACCTTGAAACTCCCACTTGAGTTTTCTTGGATATCTCTCTTTCCTTTCAACTAAGTAGTAAATCATAAAATGTACCCATATTAAGCCTATGTGTTTTCAGTTGAGGGCTTTTAAACTTGAGAAAATCAAAATAATGATCATTAAAAATGGAAATATATAATTTGCAGGGCCTAAATGATGGAAAAGGAAGATGACTAAATGTGTGATTTACAGGGCCTGGCTGCTCTTCCCTTGGATATGGGGCCATGCAAGAATTGGGACCTTTTAGAGTGAACAGTGATGGAAGAACACTATGCAGAAATGAATATGCATGGAACAATGGTAAGCATAATACACTAGCTAGCTACTACTACTAATAGATACAAAATGGCATCATTTTTTGTGTGCTTTGAATATGTATTAAATAGAAGTGATGATTTTGTTCAACTTGGCAGTGGCAAATGTTATTTTCCTGGAGTCTCCTGCAGGAGTTGGGTTTTCATATTCAAACACTTCTTCTGACTACTCTAAAGCTGGAGACAAGAGCACAGCCATGGACTCTTACACTTTTCTTCTAAACTGGCTTTACAGATTTCCACACTACAAATCTCGAGACTTGTTCATCACTGGAGAAAGCTATGCTGGACATTATGTCCCTCAGCTAGCTCAAACTATTCTCCATAACAATAAATTTACAAATCACACAGTCATTAACCTCAAAGGGGTTGCGGTGAGTCAATTTTTATTCGATATTATGAAACATAACAAATGGGAGTTGTGTTTGTGATCTAACTGAGATACATGGACCAAAAATTTTTGTAATCTAAGAGATGAAATTGAAAGATAAAGTAAGGGACATAAATTGTATTTTATTTTCTTAAATTTTTTGCCTTTGAAGTCAACTGTTTTGGTCTCAAATTTGTACTGTTGGTGCAGATTGGGAATGGTTGGATAGATGATAATATGTGTACAAAGGGAATGTATGATTATTTCTGGACACATGCTTTGAACTCTGATGAAACCCATGAAGGAATTGAAAGGCATTGTGACTTTGAGAGTGGTAACTTCACAAGTGAGTGCAACAAATATCAAAGTAGAGGGTATGATGAGATTGGAGTCATTGACATATATGACATATATGCTCCCCCTTGTGACGCAAGTCCTGCCACTGTCTCTGTAAGTTGCATGTCATGCTCCTACTTATTTTTGTTACGTGAAGTAGAGAGTCCAATTAGTAAAGTAGATAAATAGTGGGAATACACATCATATAAACACGGTTATTATTAATCAAGAACAATGACTAGCATGTATGGTTCCAGACCATACAATAAATCTGAGTGAAAATACACAAAAGTTCAATGGAGTCATATATATTATTTTGTGAAAACTAAGCCAGAAACTCTTGAATATCGAACATTGTAGAACAGCAATTTCGACCCTTGTTCTGACGAGTATACAAAATCCTACTTAAATCTGGCCCAAGTACAAGAGGCTCTTCATGCTAAACCCTCAGAATGGTCTCCTTGCAGGTACACAATTCAGTGACTATGTTTTCCTCACCATATTTTTTCAAAATGCAACAATTAACTGTAATTGTTCTATTTCCTTAATCAATGTATGTGTTGCTTGTGTTCAGTGAGGTGGGATGGACTGATAGCCCAGCAACAATTCTACCAACTATAAATCGGTTAATATCAAGTGGCATAAGAACCTGGATATACAGGTGATATAATAGAGCTTTGTTACATCCAAGAGAGTATCATATGATGGCTTTATGTAACATTGTTGATGTATAATGCAGTGGTGATACTGATGGGCGTGTTCCCATAACATCATCTAGGTATTCAGTAAATGCCTTGAAGCTTCCTGTGGAGACAACATGGCGTCCATGGTATTCGGGAAATGAGGTAATTACTTGGGCATTTTCATTTACAACATATATATATAATCAGAAGTTCAAACAATATGTAGGTAAATCTACTGGATACAAAATGCAGGTTGGAGGATACTTGGTTGGGTACAAGGGGCTCACCCTCATCACTGTAAGAGGAGCTGGTCACATGGTTCCAAGTAACCAACCACAGCGAGCGTTAACCATGATCTCATTTTTTCTTCGCGGAGAACTTCCTCCCGAATTAAGCTCATAGACGTATTTTCTGTCAATGTCCATTTTATTTGAGTAATGATAGGTCAATAACTCCATTGTCCCAAATATCTATCATATAACTTCTTTTCAAAATATTATAATAATAATAATAATATATAAAACATTGAACAATTCCATCTTTCCAGGCACCACTAGAGAAAGATTGTACGAGGGGTTTCTTGCATCTCAAAAAATATGTAGAGTTGACCCATGAAAAATGTGCACAGTTCCATCTTGCTGTGGAGATAGGACGTCAAATCTTTCTTGAGATGGATTGACCAAAGAAAAATGTGCACACTTATTCAAAAAATTTGTCCGAATCGGTTTTTTAGAGATATTCTGAATTTTGACGTTTTAAAAATTGTTCATAAGCATTCGGAATTTTTTATAAAAACATTTTAGAGTTTCCAAATAGTGTTTGTAATCTTTTCAGAAGCGTGCTGCAGTTAGTATTTCAAATTAACAGTTAGAATTTAAATCTTTCAGGTAAAAAAATATTTTCAGATTCAACTTATACAAATTTATATATTTTTAAAAAAAATTATTTAAAATTTTTCGAAATTCGTACCGAAATACTAAAAATATATTTCAATATCATTAATTTCATAAAATGAATAGATATTATTGTCTTTTTAAATAAATACGAGAAAGAAAGAGTTTTCAAATTTATCAGAAAAAAAAATATAGAACCAAATAAAGGAGTATGAAATTATTTTACGGGGACACAGAAGCTCCCTACAACCACATATTAGCCCCGTTGAACTAGATTTCAGGATAAACCAATGAATACATATACATGCGCACGTTCAGAAACTCGAGAAAAATAAGCTCAGCTTTCCGATTCATGGAACTACTAGAAAGACGAACTCGAACTCTATAATCGCTTGAGTAGCATATGGACATGCAAGTAAAATTTAGCAAAGAAGGAAATGACCCTTAAAAGCTAACAAAGCAAAGCTTCAATGTCAAAAACAAATAAAATGCAAGCAAGCACACACGCTGTCATACATAAGACAATTATTCCTATAATAAGTTTAAGCTCCTCTTTAGTCATTACTCCTACAAGGTCTAAACAATTGACTAATTGAATCCCTACAGCGCTACCTCAGGCTATCAAAATTCATTTCCGCTCCACAATTAGGAGGGATTCTTAAAAATTCAACAGATCAGGCAAGTTACAAGGGGAGAGAAGTTAATTTGCACATGCAAGGGTGATTCTGTGTAACTTGTTGTGAAAGCTACTTCTCCATTGCACTGCACTGCATTCAGCTTACTTGTTGTTGGTGGGCTCCATAAAAGGGGTAAGCCCCATAAGCAGCAGCATATATGCTCGGATCATGACGAGGAGGCAATGCGTATCCATAACCATCATAAATAGGTGTCCCATAATATGCCCCAGTCCAGGGGTTGCCGAAATCCATTCGAAACTGCAATCCAAAGAAATACCAATTCAGAGTGAATCATCACAAATGCAATTTAATGACAGACAGGCACCTTTAAACAAAATAAAAAAAGAAATGTTCGATTAATATATATTTTAAATTATTATAGGAGACCAAATAGAAGCCACTTTCTTGAAGCAGGTGCCAATACGGCATTATCTGGAGGATTATTGGTCAAACAAACCATACTTGTTTTAAATTAACAGACTATATAACAATGTGAATGTGGGATTATATCTGAGTGAGAGTTTTACCTGCTTATTTGCAGGGTTACGGCCCCAAGAAAGACGGACAGTCTGTTTTCCAATTGTTGTCCCGTTTAGCTTCTGCAATGCCTCTTCAGCATTATTTCTGAAAAAGTTTATCAGAATAATGTTGCTGTGATTACATCAACAGAGATTATAAATATGTTATCTGTCCATTTGAAAATAATTGAGATGCCAGAACTTGTACCTGTTTGCGAATTGGACAAAACCACATCCCTTTCCAACAGGTATCTTAACAGAGACTATCTCACCGTACTGGGAGAATGGCTGCCTAAGGTCCTCATCTGAAACATTAGGGTCGAGTCCTCCAACAAATATCTATAATGAAACATTGGTTAAGTATAGGATAACGGTAGTAAATCACTAGACAGCAACTCCTTATCAAAAAAACTGAATAACTCACAGTTGTGTTTGTAGAATCTACTTCAGATTGGCTGGATGTACCATTTGACTGGCCTCCTAAACAAGGAAACTTACAAGATCAATACAAAGAGGGTAGAAATATTTCAAACTCTTCAGTAGCATGAAATGGAAAAACAAAACAACATCAACAACCACGCCATTTCCCACTAGTGGGATCAACAATAACCTAACTTTTCTCACTAAGCTGGGGATCTGAACATGAATCAAAAACAAATTTAGAAGAAAGTATGGTGAGAGACGTATTATAAAGATAATGAAGGAGTCTAAATCAAGAAAAGGGGGAATTTAACGACCAAGTATATGTTTGGAATGGTTAATTTTGAAGCTAAAAAAAGTAATTAACATCATGCCACACCCCAGTGGACCCAAATTGACACTCATTCAATGAAACAAGCAAACATAATTGACATTCATTTACATTAGAAAACAAACAGAAATAGCATTTTTTTTCTTTCTTTTGCTGTGAAAACTGAAACACATATTACATTTATTTCAAGAAATTTACCCATGTAGAAAGTAAATAAAATCATTATCCAAACCACAAAACTTCGATTTTTCTTTATATAAGCAAGAAATGTAGTTCTCAAAGTAGAGCAGCTGAAAATTGAGAATAAAACAGATGACTGGAAGCATTTTCTTTCTACGGAATGCATAATGTACTTTTTGTTTTCTTTAACCTCCCAAATGAAAACAATATAAACTCAGAAGCATGTAATGTGATGTGACTTACCCTGTTGATGGCCAGATGATTTCCTTGGAGTTGCAGCACCAATACGCATAGGCCTGCTGGAACAGTAAACACCATTCATCTGAGTCATGGCCTGGGATCTTTCATTGTCATCGCCAAACCTGACGAAACCATAACCCTTTGAACGGCCAGTATTGGCATCAAAAACAACTTTTGCAGCTTTAACAGAAGGAAACACACTAGCAAAAGTGTCATGCAACAAACTATCTGTAACATCTGCAGCTAAATCTCCTACAAAAATAGAAAGGTCAGGAACATTATCTGAACCCTTGTCTCCTGTGCTAAATGATGCCCAGTTCAGTCGGAATGGTTGCTCTGTATTGGGCATCAAAATTCCAGCATAATTTTGTAAAACTTTCTCTGCTGTAGCATGTGAATAGAACTCCACAAATCCATAACCCTCTGATAGGCCAGTTTGCTTATTGCGAATAACCTTGATGGAGGAAATCTGCAAAATTTCATAACAGTCAGAAGCATGGAGATAAGAAGCAAAGGCAACATCTTTGTCCCAACAAATTAAGCCTCCAAAATGCAGATCTATTTTCATCTAATTGATGAAAGAGGTTCATTAATGTACACACAAGTACGAAAAAAAATGACATCCACATTTCTATTTCCACTCTTCAAACATTAAACAAGTACGAATCTGTTTTCACCTATATGTATGACCATTTGATTTTATTCCTGCAACGGAAAGATATTCATTTACTCCACTAAAAACAATTTTGGATAGCAGAGCCATACATAACCTAATTGAAATTAAAATAACATATAATTAGTAAATTTATATATTAAATTTCCAAATTAAAGAGAATTGTCACACTCTCTGTGCACGAAAGAACTTTTGCTTTTCAATATATCAATGAAGTTGACACTTCAAACATGCATGGTTTGACAACCTTAACCAAACACGGAAATTTAACCCCACACGAGCACCAAACACAAATTTACCTATAAGCACCCAAGCCTCCCAAATATACTACACAGCAAACTCCAACCAACAAAAAAAAGAGACAAAGACAGAAAAACTTAAATTCAACTCCTTAGATTTCTTCACTGACACAATCTTTATAACACAAAAATCAAAACAAAACTCTAATTTAATTTTAAAAGCATCAAATCCTGCAAATAAAAAAAAAAGTTTTTCCAACGTTCTCGAAAATCAGCTAATAAAGACGAATCCAAAAAGACTCTCATCAAATATAATAACAACAAATCTTCCGCATACGTCTATATGTAAATATAAACGTAAATAGGAAATAAATCTGAATGCATTATCATACATAATATATATTTTTTTTAACAAAAACAATTTTAACTGGGTGAGAAATTAAACAGCATTATATCAAAACTAAACTATAAACGATTTCGGTTATTTTCATTCAATCTTATGCTTACAATAACAGTTCTCAATGATTCATTCTTTGTGTTTCTATATATAATAATGTTTACGTATACGTATACCTCGCCGGTGGAAGCGAAACAGCGATGAAGATAGTTCTCGTCCATCCAGTGATGCAAATCGCCGATCCAGACGGTTTTGTTCTCGCCGCCGGATCCGTTCTGGTGCTGGTGCGGGACGTGCGGCGGCGCGTACTGGTGGTGGTGGTGGAAAGGCAAGTACGGCTGTGCTGCGTAGTGCTGTGGCGGAAGCATGTGATGCGGCATTACCATGGCCGCCGGATACTGCATCGGAAGCCACTGCTGCGGCCGCGCCACCGCCGGAGACGCTGCCGGCTGCCGCGGCACGTTCTGCTCCGTGGACTGCGACTGCAACGAGGAATCGGAGCCATTCGACTGATGCATCCTTAATCAATCAATGAAAAATTCAATCAATCAATCAATCGATAAAATCAATAAACGGTCACCGAAACACTCTCTCTTTCTCTCAGGCTCGCTCTCACTCTTTCTGTCAATTTTTCTATAAATGGATGTGAGTGAAGTGTTGAAGGCCAAATAAGGAAAAAGCTAAAAACGGAAAAAAGAGAAGAAGCGAGCGAGGGTGGTTTCTAGAGAGAGAAAGAACGAATCTGTAATAGCTAAGAGAGAAGAAGAGAGAAGTGGGCGCGGCATGGAAGGGTATAAGTGGATGAAGAATTCTTATTATTGGGTTGCCTTCATATAAGCTGTTCTTGTTTTTTGCCGTTAGATTTCTTTACTTGGTTTCATGTCAGCCGTTGGATTTAATTAAGAGGGATTTGGATTGCAACACTGTTATGCTCTCTCTTCTCTCTCATTCCGTGCCGCCGCCACCTTTCCTTCCTTTCCCTAATTAAATCTTCTCTTGGATCTCTTTTTTCCTTTTTTATTCTTATCTTTTATTTATTATTTTATCAAAAATATCTTTTTACGATACATTACAATTTTTGTTGCTTTTAATTTTTTAGATATGATTACAGAGGAATTTCAAAATTCATATTCATAATGTTATCTAAAAATTCTTATTTTGTATATACAGTTACTTGTTTTATTTTCATATTTTAATTGATTAGTTAAATTGGTTTTAACGGTATTTAATTCGGATTCAATTAAACCAAAATAATAGAAATAAAATATAGGTAATATTTAAAACTAAATTATAATTATAATTATAATTTACAAAATAAACTAAAATATGAAGAAAAATATTTATTTATATCTAATTGCGGTTTGACTTTTTATTGAAGGTAAATGGAATATGATGAGCTGGAAAAAAAAGAAAAAGATAATGGTATAATTATAAAAATTAACAAATTATTATAAATATACTCAATTTTTGTAACGATAAATAACTTGCATGATTAAAATATATGTTTATAATAATGTAATTTAAATATCTGATTATAAACTTTTTTCTTTAAAGTAATAAAAAAATAGCATTAAAATTTAAATTAAATTATCAAAATAATATTTTTACTGTAACAGAAAGAATTGCATTTAAATTTGTTTTATTCATTGTACTACTTTTACCAAAAATATCGTTTATTGATGGTTTTTTATTTTATCTGATGTCAGCGTTTTAGCATTATATTTATTTTATTTTTTTTACTAGCGAGCCATGCATGTATTATCCATACATACTGGGAACAGAAACCGTGTCTAGAACTAGTCATGGTAATTGATAAGCACCTAAGATTCTAAGTTTTTTTTTTTTTTCCTTTTGTATGTAATTCTATTTTTTATCTTTTATATTTGAAAGTGTTAATTTTAGAATAATAAATAATATTATATAATTTTCAATAAAATTTTAAAAATAAATAAAAATAATATATATTTTTTAAAATTATTTTATAAATATTATTTAATAATAAATTATTATTCTAACTTTCCACAGACTAAATTATTCACAACTAATTTCATTTAAGAAAATAAGAACAATATATTTTAATCTACTTATTTATTTTTATTGTAATTTATTAAAATTCATCAAATTATTATGAATATTTTATTCCTTATTTATCATATTTTTAGTTCTAATAAATTTTAACCAAAATACTTTTCAGGAGACAAACCCAATATTTTATTTATACTTCCATATTAGAAAATATATAACTTATATAAAATAAAATATTAATCATTTATTGTATTTATTTTATTCATTGTAAGGAGAATATGAATAATTATTTTCCTTTAATATAAATTAATTTGGAGAGCATATAATAAATTTTTATACTGACAATTTTGAGTGGACACAAATTCGACATTAAATATTAATTAAATTATATTAAATATTTATATAATGAATTGAATAAATTAATATTACATTTAATAAATGTTATAAATAACATTATTTATTATTTACGTTAAAGTTATATTAACAAAGTGTGAGCATTATACAATTTAATCAATTAAACAAATATCATTATTTAATAATAAAATTTATACAAGTGATTTATATATATATATATATATATATATATATATATATATATATATATATATCATACAAAGTAGTTGGATGATAAAATATTTATGTACTAATGTAATTTAATATATATTATATTAAATAAATTGTGTTTTATCATATATAAAAGGAAATTTAATTATCTTTTAATTATAACATGTAGAGATTCACTTGAAATTAAAAATTAAATATTTTTTAAGGATTTTATTTTAATTTATTTGAATTTTAAGATTAAATTAAAACTCCTATATATTAAAAATAATGTTTTATTTTTAAAATAATATATAGTTATTTATTTGGTTTAATTAAATTATTTGATTAAGCCTAGACAAAAAAAATAAAAATGTTTTAAAAGAAAAGATAAAATAAGTTAAATTGTTAGGTAAAGATAAATAAAAAAATAAAGTTAAAATAATAAAAGTTAGAAGAAAATAGAGCTTGATCTTTTAAAAGCTCAATATCACTCATGAACATATGTTCTCTCCCTTCTATTTTATGTTTGTTCAGTTTTCATAAGAGAACCTTGGGAGAGACGATACTTGAAAAGTTTCCAGAAAAATTTTTAGATTAATGGTTCACATTTTGAAGTGTTCTGTATTATTATTTAATATAAGAGGAGAGTAGAGAATGCCTTATGTAAAGATGATTATAAGAATTTTAGATAGAAAAATAAATCTTAAACTTTTTTTTTAATTGACTTTAGTGTTGTGAATATATTTCATTCAATTATTGATTTACATATATTTTAAGATTCTTATAATCCTTTTTATATAAATTCATTGATCCTATCAAAACTCCTTGGCTCGCAATAAATATAAGAGTAACTTAGTTTTATTACTATAATATAATTTAATAAGTCATTTGACCTTTAGTTTTTGAAATCCTATTTAACATTTTAAGATTAGATCCTATTTAGGCATGTCTTTCTACATAACACATAACAGAAAAAGTTATATTCATACTATTTATTAGCTAATTAATCATGTTGAACTCACTAAAAAATGTTTTGTAAAAATCAAGATAAAAAATGTTTTGTAAAAATTAGGATATGATATTTTTAGTGATCAAGTGTCAAGCTATTAGGATTATAATAAATATTTGGATTTATTAGGATTATAATAAATATTTAGATTTTTTCTAAATTTAGGCATAATAAACCATGGAACTAGATCTTGAGATTAATATACAAATATACATGTTGTACATAATTATATGTATTAGTTTTAAATAATATAAAAATGAAAGTTCTTAAAGTTACTAGTATAAATTTGGGTTTTTATGTCGGTTATTTTTATCTTTTTATATCATAAATAAGTCTGACGTTAATACGGGAGACATAAATTTACGTCGAATCTAGGGATAACCAATGTAAATTTTTTTTTTTTTTTGCAATCCAGATATCATACTTCAATAGACAATAATTCAAACATATAATATAATACAAAGACAAAAGATAATACAAAACTAAATTACGTAAATGTTAAAGTACATAATATAATACAAATTAGAAATGTTGAACAAAAAATCTTATTATTTTGTAATATCATGTCCTGATAGTGGAGATGGATGAATATTTAAATACCTGAAACATTAATTTGACTTCAGTTAACATGTAATACACAAAGGTAAATGAACTTAACAAATGTTGAAAGCAATTACCTCTGGTTATACCCGCATAAATTTTTGTGTATTACATGTGCTTAGGAGCATATTTTGAAAAAACTGTTAGGACAAATCCCCTTCGAGGATTCACCCCCTCTTCTTTGTCCTTTTCACTTCGTTTTGATATGTTGTGCGTCTGAATCCAACATTCGAGTCAAAAGTTATATATCTTGCTTCGAACATTTTTCGTTTTCTTTTCATCATAAAACCCTAATACACAAAACAACAACTTAAACCCCCAATATACAAATTATAACAAAAAAAGTATGATTCAAATGCATAGAACACTAGCTACAACAATTCAATATCAATAACAATTCAGTGGAAACATTCAATTTCAATATAAAAGAAGAGACGAGACACATAGAATACTAACCTCAAATATACAAAAAATGTTGTAAAACTCGAATTCAATCGGAGAGAAATGTCAACTACCACAAATGGGACACAATGAAAGTATTGTTGTCACTCATTGTGGTCGAAATGTACCTTGAGAGGAGATGGTCATCGTCGCTATCGTCGTCCTCGTCGTCATTCTAAAAAACCCTTGTTGCACAAGACGTGGGAGTGGCGGAAGAATAGAATAAAACGCTACTTTTACGTCGGACCTTTATGGGTCTGACGTAAAACTAATCCAACTTTTAACATCGGATGTAACCCCCTTCCAGATTACATTTATTAATCCTAATTTCTTATCTAATTTAGTAAAATATCAAAGTAATGGAAAATTTTAAGTGAAGTTCTTCATAAAGTCATACTTATTTATTATACAATCTTCAACCTATGCTCTGGATATTTTTGCATCTGCATCTGTCTCTTGAATTCTACATTCCTGCATCACACGTCACCAACATCTCGGGATTAAAAATATTTATGGGGTTAGACATTTAATTTTACCCACAACAAACAAAGCAAACATTCATACGATGAAATCAAACAATGAAACATTCTTTCATAATAAGTTCATAACTACATATAAATATACAACCATATATAATTTAATTCAAAAATTAATTATGAGAAACAAATAAATTAATCATGGAAACATAATAAAGAATTTCATACAAATCATGAATAATCTACAATTTCATCATGCAATATGTTTATGATAAACACATGTGACTCAAACTGTATAACTTGAAAATCATGCTTTTGACTCAAAATCTAAAAAAATCATTTTTGACTCAATACTCCATGGAGACTCATATGAGTGTCTAGTAGAACCAGAGCTTAACATCACCATGTCCGGTGATTCGGTAAT